CCAACAATTATACTATTGGTATTTCAAATGTATTTGATACAGAGGTTATTAGCCCAATTCAAAGAAATTATCCTAGTTTAAGTCAAGAAGTATTGTTTACCAAACTAGAAAAAGCATTAAGTTCGGAAATAAAGCTAAAGTGGGAGATAGCTACCCTCAAAAAATATATTGACAAACAAATTACCCCTTGCGGTCTTAGACTACTTAAACTACCTACCTCTAATCAAGATGATTTAGAATTTATGGAAGAATGGAATATTAAACCTCTAAATTCCCAAAACATCCCACCCACTCACCACAAAGATACGCACACACAGAGCCCCAATTAACCAATACCATGGCCCCTCTCAAAAATCACATAATCCTAACACTAACCAATACCGTCCACCCCAATACAACCGTAAGAATTCATACAGAACTTATCACACTACCCCCCAATCACCAACATATTCCAATAAGCACCCTTCACCTAAACCACAAAGATCCAAATACATTAATGACCACAGAGAATATTCCAATTACTTCAAATCACCCACGATTCCAAGTCACCAAAATAGATACCAACTATTGTCACTTGACTCGGAATTTGAAAACGAAGATCATTTTTTAGAAATCCGAACACATCCCAATACAACGCTCCAAACACCATACCCCTCCCGATCTCAAAAAAGGATTTTAAGTTTAGAGGAAGAAGAAGCGGGAGACGTGAGCAAAAGAGAAAGGCTAGAAAGACAATGAACATACAAAACAACACTAGCTCTGGCATTTTTAACCTTTCACAAAAAGTTTTAAGTATTGCACAAATATCGGTTTTAAATAAAGGCCTGAAATTTGCCCCAACTAACTCTTAAATCTTTCGAAGCTTTCCTAGACGTAAACAAATTTGTCCGTAAAGCCACACTAAAGAGATTTTTTATAGACAAACACGAAGAAACCCCTATTTTACCCTCCATTTCACCCCAATCAGACCATCAGGTAATCAACACTCAATTGAGAGAGAAATCTAAATTATATCCTGCTCATTTTAAATCTGCTCCTTTAAACATGTTTGAAAAATTAGTCACAAAAGACCTTGATAAAATAAAAAATAATAAATATGATTCACACAACCTCACACATGCAGAAAGGAATGCACCTAAAGAGCTCCAAGAAGATACTAGCATAGTAATCAAACCAGCAGATAAGGGAGAAGGGTTAGTTATTTTATCCAGTACCATGTACATAGAGTAGGCACATAGACAACTGCACGATATAGACGTACACACTAAACTTCCATCAGATCCAACAACCCAGATACAAGCCATTTTAATTCAATTTTTAAATAAAGGTTTAGATTCAAAAAAGTTAAACAAACATGAATTTAATTTTTTAAATATAAAGTTTCCTAAAATACCTGTTATATACTTTCTTCCGAAAATACATAAAAATGAAACCAAACCCCCAGGGAGACCAATTGTGTCTGGTATAGGTTCACTCCTCTGCAATCTCTCCCAATATATAGACACCCTCCTTCAACCCTCTGTCAAGCTAATGAAATCTTACCTCCAAGATTCTATGGCATTATTAAAGTTTAAGTAATTTTAAATGGAAACCCAATTTTATTAGTTACATGCGATGTTCAATCTCTTTATACAATTATACCCCATAATATTGGCTGCCAAGCAATTAAAGAGATTTTAATGTAAGAAGGAAAAATAGCCGATAAACAAATAGATTTAATCATTGAAGGCATTGACATTTTAAAAAACAATTACTTTTGGTTTTTAAATTCCTTTTATCTTCAAAAAAAGAGGGACAGCTATGGAGACTAGGTTTGCCCCCAGTTATGCAAATCTATTTATGGCTCATTGGGAGACCGAAGCCATTTTTAGTGATCATGCCTGGAGGGCAAACCCGGTCTCTTATTTTAGATATATTGATGACCTTTTTTATTTGGAATGGCCCAGAAGATCATCTTATTTCTTTTATTAACAATCTGAATAGAACCAATAGAGGTATAATTCTAACCCATGAATACAGTAAGGAACATATTAACTTTTTAGACCTTAATATTTTTATTAAAAACAGGCAAATACACACTAAGACGTTTAAGAAAGTTTGCGTTAATACCGCAAATCTTCAAATCCAGGTGACCCTGGCTTGACAGTGCTCCTAAGAGCCAAATTTTACAACTCAGAAGAAATTGTTCAGAATTAAATTACTTCAACGAACAAGCAGAATTTTTAAAAAATAAGTTTATTGAAAAAAATTATTCTGAATTAGTTTTAAACAGATACAATTAACACCATTCAACAGAAAGATAGAGATGAACTTTTAGCCTACAAAACAAAAAACAGATGAATCTATGCCCCTGCCTATTTTTAATTTTAACAATAAAAGTGGAAATATAAAAAAGATAATAAGAAAGCACTGGCATATTTTAAGAGGATGACATAAAATTTTACCCGAATATCCCAATATAGTTTTTAGAGGAGTTCCTAATTTTAAATCAATTTTAACAAAGAATTTTACTAGAGAAACTAAAAAGAAACCATCTTTATCCTTGTTCCCCCAAATTAAGGGTTTTTGTAAATGTAAATCATGTATAGTCTGCAAAACCACTGACCCTACAGTACCATCTAAAATAACTACTTTTACTTCTAATGTGACAAATAAGGTTTATAAAGTTACTGACTATTAATTGTAGTACGAGAAATGTTATTTATCTGCTTGAATGCCCCTGTGGCCTCCAGTATGTCGGAATGACCACAAGGTGCTTAAAAAAAAAAAAAAAAAAAAAGATTAAGTGAACATTGCAGAAACATTAAAAATGGGTATCTGAATCATTCAGTATCCAAACATTTTATTCAACACAATAAAGATCTTAGAATGTTAAAGTGTATGGGAATAAAAAAAAATGTACCACTCCCTGGAGAGGAGGTGATTTAAAAAAAAAAAAAAAAAACACATTCTTGGGAGAACTGAAATGGAATGGGTGTATAAGCTTCAGACCCTTATACCCCATGGTTTAAATGCAGATTTTGATTTATTTAACTTTTTGTAATTGTTATTCAATTTTACTCCTCTTCATGTTTTTAATGTACTTTTTATTCCATTTTATGTTTTATTACTCATCTCTATTTTGTTGTTTTAAAAAAAGTTTTCACTTTTGTCAGTCATTATACCATAGTCTATTGACCCACCCTTTTTCTTCCATTCACTGCTTTAGCTATACATTGCCTTATCTCCCCTCTTTTCCCAATATTGGTGCCTCTTTCTAGGAGTCTTATGTTTGTTAATCCTATCGACAGCACGCCCCCAAATCGTGCTGCCGCCTACTCTAATTATATTTTATTTTACTCCCTTCTCGCCACCGGTTGCGGCTTGCTTACCGCCTCCTACCCGCCTACTCACTCGCCCATTGGCTGCACCGACCCGTTGGGCGTGCCCCCTCTAACTCACCGTTCCCTACGTCGGCCTCAGGATCATGCGTGCCGACACATACATTATTCAGGGACGCGCGCATGCACCCTGTTTTACTACATCTCCCATATCTCCTTGCGGTGTCACGAAAGTCACGTGACCGGAAAAAAACATTAGGTTGAATAATGCTCATTTTTGTATTTTATACATAGCATTGAGTTATATCCAATGTATATTTAGTATTTACATTATATAAAATGTTTTATAACGTTTTTATTGTTTTTATCACTTACTGTACTCTCATTGGCTGCCCTTAGTTTTGGCGCCAATTTTAAACAATTGTACCCTTAAAGTAACCCTGCCAGGTATCATGTTCAATTCCATATTGAATAAGTCTTGTTGGCGAAACGCGTTTGTGGAAACATTGTGTATTTTATTCTATTAAAGATTTTTTGGTCACCTTTTACTGTGGCAATCATCTTTTAATACACCTTATATATTTATTATTTTTACCTGGCATTTTATCTTTCTGGACTCCACGTAATCCTGAGGTGGGGATCATACCACCAACGCTGCCGTCAAGGAGCAGTTTGCCTGCTCCACTATTGTGACTACCTTTTTATGTATTTTATTTACATTATTTTATCCAGTGAGCACTATTGGTCATCTCTCTATTTTGAGTGTGGAACATACCCTTGGAAGAAGAAGCCTGCACCATATCCTATAAGTGGGGATCATACCGCTGTACGCTTTTCATACTAGAGCTAGCTATAGCTCTAATACATGTGAGTGCATTACCTATCTTTTATTATTTATTGTACCATATTGGACGTACTACACCATTTTCTTTATCTGTTTTATCGTTTCATAATATTGGATCCCCCTGGGGAAGGACAGCGAGGACATTGTTCCTTAACAAGCACTATATAGACTATTTGATCTTAAGAAGATCTTTTCAGCTAAGACTTTTATATACATATTTAGAGAGAGATATATATATATATATATCTCTATATATCTCGATATATATATATATATATATATATATAGAGAGAGAGAGAGAGAGAGAGAGAGAGAGAGCGAGCGAAAGAGAGAGATATAGATATATAGATAGATATGTGTGCGTGTGTGTGTGTGTTCGGGCCATTTCCATATAGTATGAAATAGCTAGCGAGTATACTTATCGCAATAATAAAAAGTCGGTAGAGGTGTGCTGAAACAGACGTGTGTGGTAGGCCTGTAAATAAGTGGGCCTACCTTAAAATAGTACTGAATAGAGGGAGAGGAGAGTGGGCCAAAAGTACGCCTGGCCCAGTAGGTAAGTTAGGTAGGAGGGGGAGTCCCTTTTAAAGGGACATAGCCCCTCCCACAACTTCAGGCCCCGCCTTCCAAATTGTGTTCGGGGCCATTTCCGTATGGTATGAAATAGCTAGTGAGTATACTTATACTTATACAATAATAAAAAGTCGGTAGAGGTGTGCCGAAACCGACGTGTGTGGTAGGCCTGTAAATAAGTGGGCAAAAGGAATACCCATATGGTGCTATCAAAGATATATATTACGAAAACACAAGACATGGAGTTAGCATATTACGATGACCTTTACACAAATGCATTCCTTAATTCTTGTGACAGCTGAGGTATGCGTGTTGATGGGGTAGTACTGAATAAGTACCTCGAGACCCATCTGGCTGGTCTTAGTTGATGGTAAGCTTAATACGTAGTGATCCTGTATTTTAGTACAGGTTAGAATACTGTAAGCAATGCTTGGAATCGTGTTGCCCTGTGACGGTTAATTCTCAGGATCATAGGAAACCATAAAAGACAAGTATAATGGCGGTTTGAGAATGGTGTTTGTAAATGAAAAGATGTGGTGTTGAATGCCCGGAAGATATAACTTAATAGTGTTGTGTGACATTTATTTTGATGTGGCAAAAAAGTGGTGAAGAGCCCCCCAAATTGTATACTTGAACCAGTTTATAAGGTGGTGATCTGACATGAACGTTGATATATGCAGTAAGCTCTGTCATAGCAGTGTGCATTTCTTTGAGGGCCAACTGTGTGAATTCCTGCTGTGACTTAGCAACTCTTCTATTCCATAGGTAATTCTTGGAGCTGGGGAGCAATCATGGTTATCAGAAACGGAAGACTAGATAACTGGTCAGCCACTGTATTGTAATTGCCTGGTAAATGGTAGCATACCAGATAAAATTGGTGACAGGCTTCCCCTATGTTAGTTGTCTGATGAATTTATAATAAGTGATAACAGATCGGACTTGTTTATGACGTGGCCCATTGTCAACTTGTCAGAGACCTTGAACTGGTCTGCTTGCCCATGAATGACCCCATGTTGCTGCTGTGGCTATGATGGGATATACCTTTGAAGCGTGCAGAGTTTTGAGGAAACCTTAGATCTGGCTTACTTCTTCCGGCCACCTACCCCATAGCCAACTGTCCCCTGAGATTACAAGACGACTTTTCTAAGCTGGTGCATTAGGGGGACTACATATGGAGATGACCCTAGTTAAAGACATATGTTTAGGGAAGAGACACCTAACTATATAGTGCCTAGGTGAGTTCCCGCTGGGCATTCTTCCGCTAGAAGAACCTGAAAATGGTATGGAGTATGTGGGACATTCTAGTTTACCAGCAGGAACTAATATTGGAGATTGTGGTGACATTCTGTTAAACTAATATGGTGACCAGGGATCATGTGACCAAGCTCATGTATGCCTTTCTTACAGTGGGATAAGCTTTACCCTTTGATATGGTAATTCAATACCTTTACAAGTCAGGAAAGAGGTAACCACTTCCCCCTATCTCCATTCCTCCCTGTTCCTTCTTGGCTGTGCTACTGAGCAGACCCTTAAGCAGACATGGCCTAATTTCTATCATGGTGAACTGTGAGTGGGATCTGGTGATTTTATAAGATGTAGTTCTTGTTAGTTAGGTTGTTGTTGCTGTTGTTGGTGGTTGTATAGTTAGATTGTGTGTCATTATTTGTATGTTTTGTCTCTGAATAAATATTTGTTAAAGTAGACGGACCAGAGTTTATATTTGTATACGTACATAATTTATAGAGTTTGGTAATTTACCACAGAGATCACGTAAGTGTCTGTGACTGGAGAAAGGGCCGTATAGGGAGGATTTGAATGGTCTAACGTGACCTTGGTCTTATGTAATTGCCCACCTGTGGGGGCGAAATTAAGTCGTAATGGATTGCTCGCGGTGGGTTTTGTATAACATGAGAGTGATGGCCTAGTGAGGGCCACGTGTAGAGGCATGCTGTGGTAGTGTAACCGCATGTGGTTCCCTTATTACCACTATAATGTCTTAAAGCATAGAACTTAGTAGGGCTAACCATACATATTTCTTAGCCATAATTTTATATAGTGTAAGAGATCCTATATCATATATAAATAATTGAGAATACAACATTAAATAAGGATTGTCTTGGAAGCAATAGTTTTGTCTTATTGGATATCATATAAAAATATAAAATCCATTATAGCAGAGTTTATAAGATTAAATTACATGCTTGCAAATATCATTAATAGGTTAACATACCCTTCTGAACATGTCATCATGTCAGCCTCTCTGTCATTTTAAGATGGAGCAGTGTCTGTCTCCAAGTATCTCCTCTGTCTTAACATTTCAAAGTACACTTATTTATACCTTAGGTGTCTCCATTTTCGGGTTACCGTAGTTCATATGTGAAAAGGTAACACTTCTTTTACTTTATTCATTTTAGGACCTCCCTTAATTTGGCAAACATACAAGGCCATAACAGAAGGGTGCATACGTCATGGAAATTTTCCCGACTTAGTTCAAGATGGCATCTTAAAGTCTGAATAGGTTATCTGTTGTAAGTCGTAAGTGTACAGTCGTGGGAGATTCCCGGATTTGGGGAAGTTCCATTAACTTGGGGTTACCACAGTATATTGTGTACTGCAAGAGTTGTAGTATAGCTTTGAAGCTTGTTTATGCGTTATTGTTATTGTAATTCGTCTGGGACAAAATGGCGCAAACATATTATGCACTGAGGTTATTGCTTAAAGAAACATCTATGAAAAACAAAATGTTCCATTTCTAACACCTTGTCAGTTTGCAATCTCTCTTAAAGACAAAGTACACAGTTTAAGAAATACATTTCATTCTAAAACTTGTAATATTTGCATTTGCCCATAACAGTAGGCTGTGACAAAAATTGCAAACTTATGTAAAAGTTATAATTCCTATACCGTATGTAATAGCCCAAACGAGGGGGTGCTATTTTGCTATAGTGGATAGCCCTTTGGCGGGTCGTATGTAACGTATAAAGAGTGTGGTTGTGAATAAAATTGGCCGTGGTATGATAAGGTCATGGTTGCCCCTGTAATCTGGAATTACTTAAAACCTAGATGCTGGGTAAGGCCTTACAATAGTCACGTGCATGGTTAATGTAACTCGTACCATGGTTGCCAGAGTATTCAAATAGCCAGAGAAGCGGGATGGACAGTATAAATATGATGTATATGAACTGGTCTAATACGCAGTGGTGATGTGGGAATAGTCCAGTATGGAATTGATTATGTAAGCCCACTGGTGGCTGGCTAGTAAGGTCGACCCCAGGAAACTTAATTGACCCACATGATAAATTCAGTACGTATCAATAATGTATGTGGCATGTTGTATGCGTTGTAAATTGACAATAGGCTAGACTGAAGTAGTGAAATAAGAGGTAAAGAGAACGTCTGTTATAAGGGAATTATTACCTTCCGTGCGCTTGGCCAGGAGTAGGCCGTGTAGGTAGGGTCGTGAGGAGAGCTATTGTGTGGTCGTATGTGGACAGTGCAAGATATAGCAGATGTATAATACTGTAAGACGTGGTTATAGGTAGAAAGCTGTGAGATAGCTGAATTTTACGCATACATTCCTATCCAAATGATATGTGAACTTAGTGCCTAAATAAGGCGTTGCCAATAAGACGCAGTTCTCCACTAAGGTTACCTGAAGTATGTTGCAAAGGCCCGTACATGACTGTGTGAGGACTATGCATAAGAGGTTGAAAGAGGCCCAATGTAGTTACAGTTATGTGGGAGGTAATGCAAGTCTGAGTGGAATTGATGGGGTAGGGTTGGTGGTTTATTTAAGTTGTAGATCAGTTGAAAGCTGCGGTTTATGACAGCGTAGTCACAACTGAAATATGGTCATACTGATATCACACCGCAACTCTCAGCGTAACCTATGATTGTAGTAGGGTCTACCCTGAGAACATGATAAAGGTGCTGAAATGCCATAACTAAATATACTATGTACCTGCTGAGTACCATTACCTGAGGACAGACGTACAGGACACAATTGCCAGGAATATAGGCTGAGACCTGTGGAATGCAGCGGTGTCTGTACTGACCCAAGACCATGAAGGTTATAACTATACTGATAGATAATTTACTTCGTCTTGTGTCTCTGGCCTTAAGGACCACTGAGATATCGCCCTAGTTGTATGAGCAGTTCTTTGTGAAATCCTGGGAGGCAATGAGAAACGAGACAAGATTAACGTCCATGCCCTCCAGGATGTCCTCCTTGAGGTTGCTGGAACCATATGGGTTGGGGAAATGACTTAAGACTTTAAGATGATGGCGTATTAGTATTACTGGGTTGGGAATGGGAAGGGGCCGGAATATTGGTTGCGAGTGGTTCTGGTGTCGCGACTGGACAGCTATGGGCTTCCAGTCTTTACTGTCTATTGTGAACTACCCCCTGGATGTTACTACAGAGTTGATCATGGTATGCAGGTTGGCATTGCTCGTGCCCTACGTGCCAACCCCCGTGTCTGAACTGTTAGCCTAAATAGTTCTGCTTTGCGGGCAGTAGCTGGAAAGGGTATGCTGCCCCTGCGTAATTCGGCCGTGATCCGTAGGATGGTCCATGTTCTAATTAAAGATGAACTGCCTGTGACCCTTTTACGTGTAGGGGTGGCCGTCCTAGTAGGAGTACTTGAACTAGATGTCATCTCCTTCTTCTGGAACTTTGGACATACTGAAATATATATATTTAGCAACCATGAGTTGCTCTTGAAGGTATATACTGTTTTAACTAGTGCCGAAGTGAGTCCCTACTATTTGCCAAGTGGCTGAATCAGCTCTACCTATGGTTGGCGCGAGGGGGTAAACTGCTGGGTGTGGTTTAACGAGAAATTAGTCGTTAATCTGAGGAGGGGTTGTGACGAGTGATGCCCTTGCTATGCAACATGCGAGGCGTCTAGCTATGATTTGGCCCGAGGGGCGCATTACCTCTTTCGTAGAGGATGGGTGTTGGCCTCGCGGGACCTCTAACTCTATGGGCGAAGGTGCCTGTGGGAAGTACCTAGGTGGCCATAACCATTCGTCTATGGATTGGCTCCTTAACCAACTCTAGTTTAAGGAAGCGGGTGCAACGTATCTGTAAGACAAATGTATGCTAGGTTAGCTCTGCAGTATTTTAAAAAACCTGCCAAGGAGGGAGGCCTAAACCAGAATGATGGATGACAGAATGGAAGGAAGTGGGTACATATGAGTATGAAATGACACTCCACCTGCCGAACCTCCCCCATAACCGCAGCGTTAATTCCCTGAGAACAAGCCATCCATACCTTTAGATGAGGTATGAATGGTTTGTCATGTATACTGTAGTTCTCACGAGCCAAGTATGTCTAAGCTTGGAGTATTGAGTCTGTAACAAGTCAGCATCAGGTTATATGGTTGACAAGTGTCTGATCAGTACCGATTGTTTGCAAATTCTTGCTGACATGTAGCAATTAAACATGAACAACTATAATGCATGACCGTTACAGAAATGACTGTGACAGACAACAGTACGTACAAAGTGACAG